GACCTCACGCTTCACCCTCCATGTGTCAGGCGATTCGGTATCCGGAGCTCGCGGTGTTGTTGTTGTTTTTTTGGTTTGCATTAAGTGCCAAGGCTGAGCGCTCGCTTCTTGACTGGATTCCAGTCAGTAACCGTCTGTGCGCTCTACGTCTCAACGGGTCAACAGCTACAGAAAGCAGCGTCGGTGCTTATTCGTCGTATCGATGTATGCACCGACCGATTGCAGTACACCTGAAATGAAGGGTGAATTCTACAAGGACCTCTCCCAACTGCTCCAAAGTGCTCGATCAACAGATATCGTGGTAGTCGCTGGGGAATTCAATGCTCAAGTGGAACCCCTGGACGAATCAGAGAGGCTACTTGGTGGTNACTCCAACTTTGTGCCAACGACGGACTGTTTCTGTCAAGCACAAACTTCTCGCACAAAAAAACGGCAACGCCTTGCATGGAGACCGCTAACCGCTTCACAGCGATGAACTCAAATCGACCCCATTGCCATCAGCCACCGCTGACGAGGATCCATTGAAGACTGTCGCTCCTACTGGTCAACAGCCATGGACACGGACCATGCTCTGCTACGCGCGAGATTCTCTCTAAGCCTAGTAAACAACCGCAGAAAAGCCACCGAAAACGGATGCCCAAGATACAATGTCAACAATGATTGCAAATCGGCCTTCCAAGCGGAACTATCGGATCGTCTCCCAGCACTACCATCAGCCGAAGGACTCAGTGAGCACTGAACGGCAATCAAGGAAGCCATCAAAATGTCAACCGAAACAACAGCAACAGCAAATAAAAAACGATGGATCTTCCCGTCTTCGGTTGCCCTGCTGGACGTTCGCAAAGCCATTCCTCCGGATTCTAACTACGACAGAACGCACAAATCCCTTAAACGCCAGCTCATCAAGGGTCTGAGGAATGACCACGAGAAGTGTTGGGTAGGAAAGTGTAGATAGGTGAAGAAAGCTGTGGCTATCGGTAATAGTCGCAATCTTTTCCGATTAATTAGGATTACAGGTCCAAGGAAAACAGGCGTAAGTGAGGTAATTAAGGAGTCCGACGGCACACTGATCGATATTCAGCAACGCCGTCTAGATCGATGGGCTGAACATCTTAAGACTCAGTTCAGCTGGTCCACGTCAGCACAGGACCTCCCTACACCCGATTCAACTGTGCAAATATTGCCAGTTGACATTAGTCCTTCATATGAAATAGAGGCTACCCGAGAAATAAGCTATCTTAAAAGGTATAAGGCTTCCGGCCTCAACGGGCTGTTCCCATCGGTTTTTAAGGATGAAGGCCTAGCCTTGGTTCAGTGTAGTAAAAGGAATAGGTTCCAACTGAATAGTGTGACTCGGTGATCATACCGATTTACAAGAAGGGCGACAGGTCCTCTTGTGAAAACCATAGGAATTAATTTAATCAACATCGTCTCTGAACGTCTCGCTGGGATCATACTCAATTGTCTTCTGCTCGTGAAGAGTGCACACGTGAGAACCAGGCTGGTTTTTGACCTGATCGAGGTTGTTTTGATCACATCTTTACTCTTCGTCAAATCCTAGAACACAGACACTCTTTTCGTAGACCCACCATTTCCATCTTCCTTGACCCGAAAGCGGCTTTCAACTCAGTCGACCGCTTTAAACTGTGGCACTGCCTTTCCCTGAAGGGTGTACCCGAGAAGTTTATTTCACTATTACAATCCCTCTATAATAATAGCCGAAGCCGAGTCCGAGCTTACGGTACTTTTTCACCCGAGTTCACCACGGAAAGTGGTGTTCGACAGAGTTGCTCTCTCTCCGTTTCTGTTTAACTTTTTTATAGATTTCATTCTTGAAACAGCCCTATCTCTGTGCGGGGATAGCGGCACCGATTTACTTCCAGATGGCAGACTGTCTGATCTAGAGTATGCAGACGACATTGTGCTACTAAGTGAAGATCCAGGTAAGTTGCAAGCTTTTCTGGATAGTTTGAGTGCTAGGGTAACGATGTTCGGTATGCGCTTTGCACCTTCAAAGTGTAAAATGCTGATCCAAGATTGGGTTGGCCCAGTCTCCAGCCTCATCCTGATCGAGGAAATAGTAGAGAAAGTAGATAAGTTTTGCTACCTGGGCAGCTATATCTCACCTGGCAGACGCATCACAGATGAAGTGTCTGCTCGCATACAGAAAACTCGGTTGGCATTTACCAACGTGAGACATCTCTGGCGCCGTCGCGACATCCGGTTGTCTGTGAAGGGTCGGGTATATATTGCAGCAGTTCGGCCAGTTCTGCTTTACGGCGCAGAGACTTGGCCATTACGGAAATAGGTTAAAAATAGACTGTGGGTGTTCGAACACCGCTGTCTACGTCGCATTGCACGAGCTTGATGGGGA